CTGGAAGTGACCTCTGGATGCCTGGACCACGTCTTAAGTACCTGGGAGGCGGAGCTGAGGTAAGGAGGGGTCAGGGGAGGATCTAGGTGGATGTGGTGTTAACCCTTATCATGCCTGGGGATGGACAAGTGGGCATTTATACACAACAAATCCCCCTCTAAATGCCCAACAGTTGGGCCTGCTTGTGTGTTTCGCACCTGTACCGCTAATTTAGATGTAAGGTAAGCATGCTGTTTACTTGGTAGAGGTTTGGTCAGGATGTCTGCGGCTTGCTCGGCGGTCTCACAATGTACAGCCTTAATGAAACCAATGTTCGTTAGTTCTCAGACATGCTTGTGCTTAATGTCTATGTGTCTGGACCTTTGGCCTACAGCTTCTGCCATGGATATGTCTATGGCTGCCTTATTATCCTCATGTATTACTATCGGGTAGGCCGGTTCAGTCCAGATGCTGGTAAGCAGGTTGTCAAACCATGTCAGGTTGTTAGCTGCTTTGGAGAGACAGATGTATTCCGCCTCGGCTGTGGAGGTGGCTACCAGGTTTTGTTTCCCGGTGTACCAATGTACTGGGCAGCTGTTGATGAGAAACACGTAGCCGGATGTGCTCTTCCTACTTTTTGTGTTGCCTGCCCAGTCAGCATCGGCATAGGAGGTTAGGATGGGTTCTTTGGACATCTCTGGCTCTAGGTTCAGGTATGCGTTCATGCTGTGTTTTAGATACCTGAGCACACGTTTCACACCCTCCCAGTGGTACATCCTTGGATCGCTGACATGTCTGGATAGCAGGTTGACTGCCAGGAGGATGTCTGGCCTAGTCCAATTAGCTATATACAGTAGTGACCCAACAACAGACCTATAGAGGGTATTGTCCTCGAAAGTCTCACTTTCCTCATTCATGTGTTTCAGGAAGTCAATGTGTATGGGCGTATCACATGGCTTGGCTTCCTTCATGTTGCATTTAATTAACAGGTCCAATATTTTTTCCCTTTGGGAGATCCTGAATCCCTTCTGGGTTCTATGAATCTGGACACTCAGGTATTTGTTCACCTTTCCCAGAGTCTTTAGGGCAAAATGTTTCCCCATCTGATTGGCAAACTTGTCACAATTTTGTTTATGCTGACCACAGTACAAAATGTCATCCACGTAGATGAGTACGTATCTATGGATGTGCCCTCCCTCTTGGTGAAAAAGCATAGGTCGGCGGAGGTGGCTGTGAACCCCATGTCTTTGAGGATTTTAGCTAGGCACTCATACCACCTCTTACCGGACTGTTTCAAACCATACAGACTTTTGTTCAATAACCACGTGTCCTCCCCTTGTGTGTTTCTCCCCTGGGGTGCCCTGACAAAGATCTCTTTATCTAGCTTCGCGTGGAGGTAGGCTGTCTGCACGTCGAACTGGTAGACTTCTAGTCCTAGGATTGTGGCTACTACCAGGGCACTTTTTACACTCTCTGCCCTGACCGTGGGTGAGTACGTATCTGTGTAGTCCTCCGGGTACCTTTGTGCAACCCTTGTGCTACTAGCCTAGCTTTGTACAGTTTCTTATTGTCCTCTAGTTCTTTGATTTTGAAAACCCATTTAGTCCCGATGGCTACCTTGTTCTCTGGTACTCTGGATGGGCTATACACGTTTAACTCTTTCAGGCTGTTCATTTCCTTATCTATGGCCTCCTCCCATCTGGCCCTTTCCTCTCGTGGTAACCTAAGAATGTCCTCGTAGGAGTTGGATGTTGTGGTGCCTGTGTGTATTAAAGTATGTAATCGTCGAATCTTTTTGGCATTTTGTTTCTGTTGTGTCTTATGGGTCTGCTGGGCATTGTTTCTGAGTCGTGCATGTGTTGGGCTTCCCTCTCTGTGAGTGCATCTACTTTTACCTTTATGATGGGGTGGTTCTCCTTCCATTCTTTGGTGGTTACCCCTTTGTGTTTGGGTTTTTGTTTCTTGTGTGTCTCGCTTTCAGTTGTGTCTGGTTTGTTGTTGGTTCTAACATTGTCATTGGCTCCTTGTCCGGGTAGTACCTCGTTGAGGTGTATTCTTGACCAGTTTGTGTTCTCGTGGAACACAGCTGATCTGGACACGACAAATCTGTTGTCCTTGTCGAAGAATCTGTACCCCTTGGTTCCGGACTCGTACCCCATGAACCTTAGTCTCCTCGACACTTTGTCCCCTTTTCTCCTTAACTGTCTGAGTATATGTACATCTGCAGTTACCCCAAATATGTGTAGGTGAGCTATCTGGGGCTTCCTATTATACATGACCTCATAGGGAGTTTTGTTCACTACGCTTGACCATATTCTGTTCAGTGTGTAATTTGAATATGTGAGTGCCTCTGCCCAGAAGTGTTGCCCAGCCCTGCGTCTTCTAGCACGCACCTCACCATTGTTTGTAACACGCCGTTCCTGCGTTCTGATACTCTGTTCTGGAATGGCGAAAAAGGCAAAGAGGAGAAGTGTAGTATCCCGTGTTTCTTTGTCCAATTGGAGAAGTCCCTTGATAGGAACTCTGAGCCTCTATCTGTCATAATTTGTTTTATTTTTATGTTATGTTGAGTTTCTACCCTCTTGTAGAACTCTTTGAATTTTTGGAACACCTCACTTTTGTGATTGAGGGTGTACACAAACCCGTAACGGTTATAGTCATTGACTATAGTTAGGAAGAACCTCTTCTTGTATTTAATAGAGGGTTTCATGGGTCCCACCACGTCCATGTGAACTAATTGGAATATTGAATTGGTGGTGCGGGAGGCCTTCTTGGGCCTTGGTTTGGTTTTGATTTTTGAACATTTACACACAGAACACTCCAAATAATTTTTACAGTTCTTTAATGGTAAGCCATTTGAACATTCATCCATTTTTTGTACCGTTGGAAAACTAGCGTGGCCTAATTTTCTATGCAGTAGGTGGGCGCACTCATCGTGAATGGGTTTGCCAATGTGTGGTTTCTCTTTGTGTGTTGTGTCTGAGGTGGGTTTGCCTTCTGCAGTGTGTTCTCCCTCACCCCCTCAGTTTCTGTGGGTGTACTTGTCTCTTTCTCCTTACTTTCTGGGTTAGTGTTTGTGTTTGTGTGTTTTTGGGGTACTAAGTATGTGTGTCCCCCTTCTATGATGATTTTTCCTATGCTTTTCCTTCCTTTAGTCATGTATGCTTTCCCTTCCTTGAAGGTTGTCTCAAAGCCCAAGTCTTTACTGAGCTTGAGCGTGGCTAATATATTGTGGGGTATTTCAGGGATGAGTAGCACCCCCTCTATCTTCCCTATCCCATCTATGTGTGCGCTTCCTTCTCCTGTCACCAATACCTTGTTCTGATTGGCTACATTGATGTGGTATTCCTTAGGCGTGAATGTCTTCAGTATGTTTCTGTTATTGGTGGTGTGGTTGGTGGCCCCTGAGTCAATGAGCCATGTGTTCTTTCCTTTTGTCTGGGTGTGTGAGTGTCGGTGGTCTCTAAGTTCGTATAGTGACCCAGTCTGACTATCCCTGGAGCTATCCCTATATCCTCTCCTATCCCTGGGGTTGGGTGAGTCCCTGCGCCTGAACCTGCTCTCTGGGGAGCACCTATCTTAGTGTCCTGGTTTGTGGCCCTGTCTTTCCCTACGATAGCTGTAGTCTCTGTTCCTCTGGTTTCTGGGGCAATCTCTCCTATAGTGGTTCCTAGAACGGCAGTTAAAGCATTCTGGTTTGTCTTGGTCCCTGGTCTGAAAGTCTACCCTTTTTATTGGTCTGTTCTCCCTACGGCTTGATGAACGGTCCCTTCTTAGGCTGTCCTCCGCTATCAGCCTGTTGGATAATGTCTCTAAAGAGAGGTGCTCTATGTTGAGACTATCCAGTTGCATAATAAAGTTTTCCCAACTGGGGTCTAGAGAGTTTATGATGATGCTTTTCATGCTATCATCAGATAGCAACCCAACCCTTTGGTTGTTGTGGCTGCACTTTTGCTGTAGAACAAATTAAATATTTTCTGTAGCATCTCTGCCACGGTTAAGTGGCGGCCAAGACTGGGGTAAATGCTGGGTGACAAGCTAGACATTAACAGATAGTAAGCCCTGTGGTGTAAACAGTCAATCTCAAAAGTCCATGGTTTCTTTGGTGGGTCATCAAATAAATACAACATATTTTCCTTTAGAAAAACAATTTGGAGTTGATGATTCCACTCCAAGAAGTTAGACCCATCTAATTTCAACTTGTGGTTGTCAGCAGTAAAAGTTATGTTACTTACACCCTGGTTCTGTCCATGGTTCTTTACGTGAGGGAACTCGCAATATGCTGGGGGAATGCTTGTTGCTAGTCTGAATGGATTTGTCTCTATGTTCTTTGTACTTATCTCTATGTTCCTCTCTCTTCCTGTAGGTGGCGACTGGGCATGTGCGAAGCTCATTTCGCGCCGGAGGTTGTCGGGTGAGATGCTCTCTGCTGCTGCTCTCAGGCCTAGGCCTAGGCCTGCCGGTGGGAGGCTGGGCTCGCTCCTGGTGGGCCCATAGCCCTCCCTGGACGTCGGATGCCATGGCTGGGCCCCTGCATCTTGGGCGAAGATCGGGAACAGCTGGGGCAGCGAGCCGGTCGTAGGTCAAGGATTCCTGGAGCTCGGCGGCGCGGCGGCAGACGTAAGTTGAGGACCTTTGGGGATCTTGGGTGCGGCGAAGGCGGCGATGAAGGCGGTGAAGGCGGCGGACCCTGGGCGACGTTGGAGGACCTCCGGATGGGTCGGGAAGCCTGGTGGAGGCCGCATGGCTGGTGAGATGTTGTTTCTTCTCCTTATTCCGTGGCCTATGGAAGTTGGTGCGGCGGGTGGCGAGTGCGAATCCTGCGGGTATTCAGTCCTGCAGGTGGCCGGGTCTTGGCTGTAGTTTTTGGGTGCGTTCTCCCGCGTGGTGTCTGCTGGGGGGTTGCAAGGGTTCCGGTGGCTACCCTGCTGCTCTTTTGGGGTTGTTGAGCGTCGGTTTGTTTCCTTCTGGTTGCTGGAGTGCTGAGCTGAGTGCTGCAGCCAGGTTCTCGATTGTTTCATTTACTTCGGGCTCGATGGGCGAGCCCCCGCAGGCTTGCAATCTTGCTTCGGTGGTGTTTTCGGGTTCTTCCTCACCGAAGTTTGGGTTCCCATTGTTTCGCGCCATTCGGTTTGAATCTCGGCTTCCCATTGGCTGTTGGCCATTCCAAGATGGCCGCCGAGAGCATGGCGCGGAAATGAAATCCTCCATGTCCGGAGCTTCAGGTTGGGGATACCTTCCCTTGCCGGGCTGGGGATTTCTTTTCTTTGTTCCTGGATGCTCATCGCTGCTCTATTGCTTTCGAGTAGGCTATGGAGTTTCGCGATGAGCTCTTCTTTTCTGGCAGTCTCATCCATCATTTCCAGGATGGTGGATTGGAACTCTTCATTGCTCGGTGGCTCTGCCCTTTCGCAGTAGTGGATTTCTTCTCTTGGCCCTTCGTCTCTGAGTAGTGGACTTGGGTTGTGGTCTTCATCATCTTCGGTTGTGGCGATTCTTGCTGTGGCACCTTCGAGAGCCTGCAGTTCTTTCATCTGCTTGGTGTAGGCTCTGGTGGCCATTCTTTTCTCTGACTCTGTCTGGGTTCCTGATTCTGCCATCTCTGTGAATTGTGGGTAAACCATCCTCTGCTACCAACTTGTGACTTATTTCTAGGATCTTACCCAATAACTCCAAACACAGGATGCAGTGAATCAATTCTCTTTATTAATCAATGTTTCAATTACAGGTATGTGGCTGGAAGTGACCTCTGGATGCCTGGACCACGTCTTAAGTACCTGGGAGGCGGAGCTGAGGTAAGGAGGGGTCAGGGGAGGATCTAGGTGGATGTGGTGTTAACCCTTATCATGCCTGGGGATGGACAACGGTGGGCATTTATACACAACATAGGATCGTCAGAGCTTTTTAAAAGCATTTTTTTTTACAACCTCTTCAGCCAAAGAGGTTGTAGAAAAAATGCTTTTAAAAGGCTCTGACGATCCCAGCTGAATTGCCTGATCGCCAGAACCTTTGGTAGAAAAAATGCTTTTAAAAGGCTCTGATGATTCCAGCTGAGTTGCCTGATCATCAGAGGCTTTTTTTTTCTTTTAAAAGCAAAAAAAAAAAAAAGCTTTTAAAAAAAACAAAAGCCTCTGACGATCAGGCAACACAGCATATTAAAGAAAGACTATTTAAATCATGATTAAGGAGTAATACAATCAAATCTTTTAAAAAAACAACATGAAAAACAAATGGAAAAGCTGCAAAGTGTAAATCAGCAAATTCTCAGAAGAAAACAAAAGACATTTACTTCTTTCAAGTTCCTGTGTAATGCAGAGTGTGGTGGTTTCGTTGACCAGAGGCTGGGAATCATGCTGGACCTGGCAAAGGAACATGGAGGAGTTCTTGTCTTCAGTGGCCATCATCTCTAGGTTGCTTTCGAGGGAAAAGGTCCCATCGGGATTCAAGATACTCGGTGCAACCATTCCTTTTCTGCTTAGGGCATCCTTGGGAAACAACTCCATTGTTGCACCATCTGGGTAAAAGCTTTCTGCGTTGCAAGTGACCGTCACTGAGGAGTTCAGCTGGATGGGAGAAGGTGGGTTGATCTCAAGATGCACCTTGGGAGGAACTGAGCAAAGAAAGCCAAAGACGATCAATCAAAAGAGCTTCAGACTCCTGGTTCCTCCAAGCAGAATGGGGTGGAAGTCCAAAGTGATTCTGCTCTCCCATTGTGGCATTGGGGAAATCATTCCAGGACAATTACCGTATTTTTTGGAGTATAAGACACACCTTTCCCCCCCCAAAAGAGGGTGAAAATCTGGGTGCGTCTTATACTCCGAATGTAGCCCCACCCAACCTCACAAACAGAGATTTCAGAGGCAGAAAGAAGCCTCTGAAAGAAGCTTCAGAAAAAAAGCCTCCAAACAGAGTTTCAGGAAAAAAAAGCCTCTGAAAGGTTTTTATCTAAAATAATATGGCAAGCAACAAAAGAAGAATCAGTAAAGGTTCTAACAAAACTATGCCAACAAATCTGGAGAATGAAACAATAACCAACAGATCGGAAGAGGTTAATCTATATACCAATACCAAAGAAAGGAGATTGAACAGAGTACAGACAGCCCTTCAGAATAAAAACCTCTGAAAAAAGCTTCAGAAAAAAAGCCTCCAAACAGAGCTTCAGAAAAAAAGCCTCCCAACAGAGCTTCAGGAAAAAAAGCCTTTTTTTTTCTGAAGCTCTGTTTTGTAGGCTTTCAGAGGCAGAAAAAAAAGTTCTTTCTGAAATGGAATTTCAAAAGTTTCAGAATGCAGAAAAAAAAAACAAGGCACAGAGCTCATAACCAACAAACCTGTTGCTAAAATTCACCTCTGAAAACAGCTGATTGGGGGTATTCTGGGAGGCCGATCCATCCGCCAATCAGCTTTTTTCTTATTTTCCTCCCCAAAAACTAAGGTGCATCTTATACTCCAAAAAATACGGTAAGTCTCTGGGGAAAGAGCCAGAGATACTGTGTTTTCCCAAAAATAAGACCCGATCTTAATTTATTTTGGGCCTCAAAATAAGCACCAGGTCTTATTTTCAGGGGATGTCTTACCCATTTACCTTAGGACCACTAAGGTTGGTGCCGCCACGTATGGCAGGACACCGCATGGCCTGTCATGCCGGTGCCACGGCTCATGGCATGACCCGCAAGGCTCATCACACCAGTTCGGCTGCATGGTGTGCTGTGCCATTACGCACATGAACTGGTGTGATGTGCCAAGCAGCGTTCTGCCGTGAGCGGTGACACTGGCATGATGTACCATGTGTCATCCAGTCACAAGTGGCCATAAGTGGCCACAGAAGCCAGGCAGCAGCGCAACAGGTGTCAGGACGTGGGAGGCCTGGCTGCGGTGGTCCTAAGGTAAATGTGTGCAGGGCATGTGGGGCAGCTCCAGTCCCCCACCCCTGCCCTAGCTTGATTTTTATGCATGCGCCTCACCCCACCTTGTACAACCAGACGGTGGGAGGGACTTAATTAGGGCTTATTTTGGAAGGGGTATTTATTTATTTATTATTGCGATTTATATGCCGCCTTTCTCCCTGGGGACTCAAGGCGGCTTACAAAATGACAAATTCAATACAAATCACAATGAAATACAATTAAAAACGGCAGCCCTATTAAAACAGTTTAAAATTATGACAGTGTACCCTCAAACGGATCAGTTGAGTTGACGGAAGAGCCACGTCTTCAGCTTGCGACGGAAGGAAAGGAGGTCGGGGGCTGTCCTCAGCTCGGTGGGCAATCCATTCCAGAGGGTCGGGGCTCCCACAGAGAACGCTCTCCTCCTGGGGGCCGTCAGCCGACATTGTTTGGCCGACGGCACCCTGAGGAGGCCGACTCTGTGAGAGCGCACAGGATGGTGGGAGAGCGGCTGGAGATGGTCCTGCAAGTACCCCGGGCCTAAGCCATGAAGGGCTTTATAGGTTAGCACCAGCACTTTGAAATGTGTAGGGCTTATATTAGGTTCAGACATGAAAATTGGACTAGGACTTGTTTTTGGGGTAGGCCATATTTTGGAGGAAACACAGTAGAAGGACATTCAAAAAACCTGTTCCCCAGAACTACAGCCCTGTGAGGGAACTTCAGTTGAGAAAGCATGACTGGTCTTGATGGGCATCCATGGGTCGAGAATTTTATTCTTCCTGGTGGTATTCCTTCTACATGAAGGGCCCTCTACTAGGTTGGGACCTCGTGGCCTCATCCCTCTCTGCAACCCAAGGTTCACCTACCGCTTATGACATCACGAAGTGCGAAGGTCTGCTGGAGAGGACTGTCCAACGATCTGTGTTGGATCTGGCAGGTCAGCTGAGATTTCACGTCTCCTTGCTCCAGCGGGATTATCAACCTGCTCTCCGCTTTGTATGACATGCTCTCTGTTCCATCAGAGTCCAGGTTGCTGATCTGGTCAACCTGTTTCTCTTTCCCATCCTTCAACCAGTTGACTGTGATCTCTGGGGGGGAGAATCCATCTGAGGAGCAGTCGAAGGAGGCCAGAGACCCCACCGTGATTCTTCTTGTGGGGCCACGAATCAAGGGCTGGGATGGCTTGGCTGAGGGAGAAAGTAGAGAGAGAGAGAGAGAGAGAGCAGTTGATGTTTCTCAGAGACAATAAAATAGAATTGCATAGAATAGAGTAGAGTAGAGTAGAGTAGAGTAGAGTAGAGTAGAGTAGAGTAGAGTAGAGTAGAGTAGAGTAGAATAGAATAGAATAGAATAGAATAGAATAGAATAGAATAGAATAGAATAGAATAGAATAGAATAGAATAGAATAGAATAGAATACTTTATTGGCCAAGTGTGATTGGACACACAAGGAATTTGTCTTTGGTGCATATGCTCTCAGTGTACATAAAAAGAGAAGATACATTCGTCAAGAATTGTAAGGTACCCCATGATAGTCATAGGGTACAAACAAGCAATCAGGAAACAATCAATATCAATATAAATCGTAAGGACCCAAGCAACAAACTTACAGACATGCTGTCATAAGTGGGAGGAGATGGGTGATAGGAACAGTGAGAAGACTAATAGTAATAGTAGTGCACACTTAGTGAATAGTTTGACAGTGTTGTGGGAATGAGTTGTTTAGCAGAGTGATGGCATTCGGGAAAAAACTGTTCTTGTGTCTAGTTGTTCTGGTGTGCAGTGCTCTATAAAGTCGTTTTGAGGGTAGGAGTTGAAACAATTTATGTCCAGGATGTGAGGGGTCTGTAAATGTTTTCAATACAGAAGTCTCCAAGATTTATCTTGGACAGAGAGTCTCAGCTTCCCACGTGTCTCTCTTTTGACTGGGAACATCTCCCTCCATCCCCAGAAATCAAATGGGGGGCTCACCTACCGATCACGGAGACCAGAGTGCCTTTCCCTGAAGCCAGCTCTCTCTCTGGGTTCCCTGCCCTGAACTTCACACAATAGTAGGTCCCGGCATCTTCAGGACGGACGTTTCGGATGTTGATGCTGAAGTCCGTGTTGGATCCTGGGATGACCCTGACCCCCCTGTTGGAAGATCCTTGTTTATCGCTGTAAATGGGGGTCTTATTTCTGTCCAGCCTTTTGTGCCACCGCACGCCTCCGGGTATATTTCCTCCAGTCAATGTACACCTTAGAGTAAAGTCCTCTCCAGCTTTCACCGATACGGTTTCCGGAAGTTGGGTTATCTCTATGTTCTGTCCTGTAACAACTGAAACAAAAAAGAGACACTTTTGTAACTGGGTTTCCTCTAGAAAGTGGTTACCACTCTTCTGGGGAGAAAGGACCATTGGTGGTCTCCTTCGGACAGAAGAATTATTTGCATTTCCTGAATGCCAACCTTCTGGCTTATGATCTGGCCATTCTTGAATGCAGAGGGCTCATTTATACAGTGGGCGAGTTTTGCATTTCATTCGCTTTTATTCAACTTGTATCTTTCTAGTGTGTTTTAGTATAAACTGCCTCAGGAGTTTCAGCTCTTAGGCAGTTTTAAAATGTTCATAAATAAAAAAATAAAATAACGGAACGAAATGTAACGTAATGTAACATAACATGAACCGAGCTGGCGCAGTGGTTAGGGTGCAGTACTGCAGCTACTTCAGATGATTGCTAGTTCAGCAGATCAGCGGATCAAATCTCACCAGGCTCAAGGTTGACTCAGCCTTCCATCCTTCCGAGGTGGGTAAAATGGGGACCCAGATTGTTAGGGGGCAATGTGCTATTTAGTATACTGTCTTTGGTGTAAGCCGCCCAGAGACCTCGGAGAGTAGGCGGCATAGAAGTATGACTAATAAAATAAATAATAAAACTAACATAATATAACATAACAATAATGGATGTGGTAGTGCCTGGAAACAGCAGAATAGAAGGGAAAGAACTGGAGAAGATAACAAAATATAAAAACCTACAAATAGAAATAGAATGACTGTGGCAAAGGCAAGCAAGGGTAGGACCAGTAGTTATAGGCGCCTAGGATGATTAATATGCTCTGATGCTAAGAAGTTCTACTCCCCCTTCCCACCTGAAAAGAAATTTGTTCCAAATGCAAAACACAAGCAGAGGAGAGGCGTTTCAGTTTCAGTTTTACTTTCACAGCAGCAAGCAGGGGATAGAATAGGGGAGGCTTCTGTGGGGCAAAGCTGAGGGAGAGAAGGGGATAGGATAGGAGAGGCTTCTGTGGGACAAGGTGTTGTGGTCCGCCAGCAGCCTGCAGAGCTGGTAGCGGAGTCAGACAGTGGGGAGGCTGGAGAGGACAATGGGCCAGTCCTGGAGGCTGGGGAAGGCCCGGATGAGGGCTCTGTGTTGGAGGCAAAGATGGGGCCAGGGCCATCAGGGAGCGATGTGAGGACTCCAGAGCCTCCAGAGTCAGTCAACAGAGAGGCAGAGGAACAGGAGGAGCCTGTTCCTAGTGCACGCATGTGCAGAGCTGCCAGAAGGCAAGAGCAGCTAAAGCTGCTGGGGGCTGAACTGGGATGATATCAAATTTTCTTGCATCTGCCAGCAGAGGGGAGTTGACCATCGGACCAACCGCCGTGAGAGGGCGGTTTTTGGACCTGAGCCCCGGGTGCTGTGCTGTCTGCATTGGCTCATCGCTGCCATCTCACCACAAGAGGGGGTCGATTGGTTGACCAGACCACCGTGAGAGGGTGGTTGGATCTATCCTCCCCCCTTGGACTGTGGTCGACCTGGAACCTAACTTTGTCCTCTGTTGTGAGGGGACAGTGGACCTGGTCTTGTGAAAATGCTTTTGAGACTCCCATTCCATGTCTCTCCCCTGGACCTTTTATATGGACCCCTAGGATATGGTTGCTCCCATCCTCTGTGGTCAAGATGTATTCCGCAGTGGAGCTTCTTGGTCTGCGAGACTCCCTCCTCTCGCAGGCTTGGCCCTCCACTCTATCGAGGGCCTAACTTGATGACGGGCTTTGGAACCCCAAGAGGTGGCATGCCGCAAAGAGGGGGTTGTGGGGTTTTTTAAAATTGTCTTTTTGTAATCTTTTAAGGGGTTTAGGATGGGGGGTGGGGAGGGAGGGACATAGGTCAGGCTCGATACAGGGGCATGGAACGGAAGGCGGGGAGCGGGGTGTGGAGGAGCTCAGTGCTGATAGGGTGGAGGGCGATTCTATCAGGACCGTGGTTGGGAGGGGCAGATATGGCGGGAGTAGGGGGCCACATCAGGTTGTGGGGGCACGCACCCGCTATCTCCAAGCGGTGGCATGCCTCGGCCCCCATGACTCTTCTCATTTCCCCGGCTGTCCAGAGTTTCAGAGCCCAGGCCTTAGACTGATGTTGTGCAATGCCAGGTCCGTGGTTAATAAGGCCCCCCTCATTTGTGAACAAATACAGGACGGGGGTGAGGACCTGGCAGGTATTACAGAGACCTGGTTGGGCCATGAGGGGGGGTCCCCCTCGTAGAGATGAAATGAGAAAGGGAGCTGCCGGCATGAGGGAAAGGTGAACGGCAGGTAAAGAAAAAACGGTGAGCCTGCGAGCCGTGTGGAAGGGAGTAGGGACGGCAGGAAAGCGGGCCTGGCCATGGGGACCACTGAGAAGGTTGCAGGGAAGGCAGGCAAGAATGGCTGGCCTGTGGGGGAGGTAGCTGGGGAGAAGCGAAGGAAGACTCAGCAGGCAGAGATCAGCTGGGCGGCGTGGTCGAGGCAAACGAGGGAACCAAAGGGCAGCAGCAGTTATGCTGCGGGGGTGACTCTAGGAAGGCGAGGCGCGAAAAGGAGTGAGTGGGAGAGGTAGGGAGGGGAGGGGCAGGGAGGGGAGGGGCCAGCAGTGGTGGCATTTGCCGGTTCCTCCATGCTAGATCTTGTAAGTTCCAACTGAATGAATCTATTTATAGCGTGCCCAGGGTTTGTTTCAGTAATAATGCTAACCTTTCTCATTGCATACATGTTCATTTTCACATGCCCTTTTTAAAATTAAAAAAAAATGCCATTGGGTCATCTATCTTGTTAGTTAGATGGATTGAGCAATATTTGTACGCCAAAATTAACTGTCAAGTTTCGAGGTCGTCTCAAATAAATTGCATTTCAAACAAAGTCTTTGAAGAAAAACTCCTATTTATTAAGCACGACATTCTAAACCCGACTCCATCAAAGCCAACACTGACTTCCAGCCCCAAAACCCTCCCTTTCCGTTCCCCACTCCCCTGCACTCATTGGCCATCTTCCAAGTCATTCTACCCCTAATCTACTCCAGCTCAAAGGAATTTTCCCCCTCCCATCCCATCTCCAAGGGGATATTATCCCAATGATGCCCTTGAAGTGATGTCCCGGTGTCTGGAGGCCGTGCGGATCTGGATGGGGAGGAACAGGCTCAGGCTCAACCCATCCAAGACCGAGTGGCTGTGGTTTCCCACGTCCCGATATAGTCAGTTGACGCCATCGCTGACTATTGGGGTGAATCGCTGGCCCCCACGGAGAGGGCTCACAACTTGGGTGTCCTCCTGGATTCACGGCTGTCTTTAGAAGAGCACTTGACGGCTGTGACCGGGAGGATTTTTCATCAGGTTCGCCTGATCCACCAGTTGCGTCCCTTTCTTGATCGGGACTCCTTACACACAGTCACTCATGCCCTCGTCACCTCTCGCCTGGACTATTGTAATGCTCTCTACATGGGGCTCCCCTTGAGGAGCACGCGGAGGCTCCAACTGGCGCAGAGTGTGGCCGTGCAGGTGGTTATGGGAGCAACATGGCGCTCCCGTGTAACACCTCTCCTGCGCGAGCTGCACTGGCTCCCGGTGGTCTTCCGTGTGCGCTTCAAGGTTTTGGTTACCACCTTTAAAGCGCTCCATGGCTTAGGACCTGGTTATTTACGGGACCGCCTACTACCACAAGCAGTCTCCCACCGGACGTTATGCTCTCATAGAGAGGGGCTCCTCCGGGTGCCGTCAGCCAAGCAGTGTCGACTGGCGGCCCACAGGGGGAGGGCCTTCTCTGTGGGGGCACCCACTATCTGGAATGAGCTCCCCCCAGAGATACGGAGGATCCCGGATCGGCGCACCTTCCGCCGTGCTCTTAAGACCCTCTTATTCCAGCAAGCCGGCCTGGCCTAATTTTTCTCCCTTTCTTTTAAATTTTAAATTGAAATTTTAATTTGTTTTAAATTTATTGGGATTTTAATTGTTGTGGGCCATATTATTTAATTTGGTTTTAAATTGTTTTTAACTTTTGTATTTCTGTATTTTATCCTGTGCCTGTTCACCGCCCTGAGTCCTTCGGGAGTAGGGCAGTATACAAATTTAATAAAACCTAAATCTAAACCAGGGAAAATAAGTAGGTGAAAAGTCAAATGTCCCTTTCCAGATGCCTCCCTTCTCCTTATGTCAGCACTAGAGTAAATGCAGCTTGAAGTGCTGACATTAACCCTTTCTCGTTTCTTCCTTTTTTCCGTGCTGTATTCTTCTCATTTCTCATTTCTTAGTTCTCACCAACTTATTTGGAAGTTAGTCAAATACAGTGATGCACAGAATCCGGTAATTTTAAAAGGTTATAAAGATAATATAAGATAAAAATAGAAATTTGCCCGTGCATTCTGATCGCTAATGTCAGGTGCAAGAAATCAGGAACCAGGATAGCATGCAAAAGTCCTACAAGTTTATTTCATGTTACCTTTATACAAGAATCTGATCTACGAATTGGTGCCAGATATGAGTCGACGGACTTCAAAGGGGATTTAGAGAAAGATAGATAATAAAGGTATTAATCCCTGTCCATTTTGAGTACATAGCAAAAAGAGGAAACCTGAGAATTCACAAGGTTGATGTTTTATGGAACAAAATTGTGACTGAAGCTAGATGTTCTGCTTTGGGTATCACAAAGCCCCCTCCAAGAAGGTAACAAAGAAAACAAATTGTGAAGAGGTTGTGTGGCATGCCAGATAATCATGTGGACCCTGCTCAAGCATCACTTATAATGCCATGCCCTGGATAGAAGGGAGTGAATTGCCAACAATCTGCCAATAAATAAGAATATCAAGAATGATTTTTTAAAAATTGGCTCAATCAATAGATTGGGAAGCAGAAAAAAATGTCTTAGAAATATATAACATATACAGAATAAATTTCCAATATGCCACAACAAGGAATGTTGCAAAGGGATGCATTAGTACACTTTGAAAGAAAAAGAGAACAAGCTTGAGATTGTTACTTTAAATCTTAACTGAAAATTGATAATATGGACATAATCGGAGGCATAGTGATGCCAAACTGATGATGCATTTGACTCCACCTTTAGGGTCAGCTTGGTCAGCTCCTACAGTTAGGTGTTTTCACTTCACTATC